TTCAACAGCTCAGCTGTATCTGTGTCAGTTTGTTTGATTTCTAACTTTTTTGTCGCCGCGCGCCGTTGTGTTTTTTAAGTTTTAAGTGAATTACGTGTTTTGTTTTTTAATAATATTAACAATGATGGCACCAGCGGAAGTAAGTTGTGTGCAAAATCTTTTAAAAAGCCCGATGTCACTTGAAGATAAACTTTTAATTAAGAAGAAAGGAAGACATATTCCCGATCTTCGAATACACTACACTTACACAGGGAAAGGCCGAACTTACAATAGAGTATTCAACAGAAATACCTAATCAGAATTAGTTAAGGAAAAATAAGGTAATATTCTTAAACGAGTAAAGCAATTTATCTTCTCGTAGAAACGAATGCCTTAGTTCTATGGTGTATTCACTAACTTCTAGATAAATATTCATACTTTACTTAATAAACTTGTCAAAATTAAAAAGATAGTCAGATTACCTAAATATTTAATCAAAATCTCAATTACTTTTAGGTACGACAATTTTGCTTTTAATTAAGGTAATTCTTCTAAATTATTATGGCAAATTATTGAACTATATTGTTCACCATAATGCCAAAATCAACGAAAGCGTTGTGTGCTATTGATATAACAACATAGTTAACAATTATTGTGCTATAAGTGAACATTCTGTAGTGCTATCCAAACCAGATAGAATTTCCCATTGACCCCAATTTATTTTTAAACCTGTAGTACCGGAACCGCCGTTGTTAATTCGCCTAACTTGTAAAAAAATTCCTATGCCACAAGAAACTTTATTAAACTTATAAAGTAGGTATACCTATAAGTATTATTAAAATTATAAATTAGCTAGGTATTATTAAAATAAACGTAATTCGTTTTTGTTACTTTTATTTTTTTTATTTATACATATTTATTAATATACATTTTTAATTTAACAAAAATAAATGTATTTTTTATTTTACCCATCAGCACTTAAAAGGGGGATTTATAATGTCATTCTTTTCTCATTTACATTGCTCGATATAGGGATAAACACTACTAGGTTATAGGTAACTTTTTACAATAATATTTAACATTTACAATAGTATATTACCAAAGCAATGCGTGAGAATAAAAATTACATTATAAATATCTTCTCTCCTAAATGCCCCCACCGCCAATTTTTGTTCCCCTTATATTTTTGTCTAATAAAATAGTGGAATTTCACTAGAAAATAAGTAGAATTTTACTAGAAAATTAGTAAAACTTCACTAGATAATTAGGGAAATTTCACTAGAAAATAAATAGAATTTTTTAGGGTATACCTATTATCTAAAAAAAAATAGATAAATTTACCGTTAAAAATAAGAGGATTTTCACTAAAAATATATATGATTTGCCTGAAAACTTAGCTAAAATATACCTAAAAATTTAAGCAAATCGCCTTAGAAACAGGAAATTTATTCTTTTATTCTCAGGCAATATCCCTTACGATCTAAAGTGAAACCTAAGTGATTTTGATTAATTACCTAATTGTATTATTTTCTTTAAAAATATCAGTTAAAGAATTCACTAATTTAAAAGGGGAATATTCCTCTGAATTCATTTCAAGCAGTTTGCCTTATATACATAGTCTAATATTTTAGGTAAAAATTAAAACACAAATTAAACAGTGTATCAGTATTTATTTATTTATTTATTTCAATTACAAATCCAACAGGCTGGTGCCCAATTACAGGATAGGTGAGAATGTAAATATAAAAAAAGAGAAAACACAAAAACAAAATACACAGAAATAAAAAAAATATATATAAGATTTAAAAACAAACAAAATATGAGATATGAATACTAAATAATAATATTGGGTAGAATTCTTAATAAACTATTATAACTGCAATGAAAAAAATCTAAACTCATACCAACTTTGTTTCCATAGTAACACAATTGAAACAAAGGTGACATAATAAACATATTAGTACTGGATTTTGGCAGATAAAATAGATCGCAGTTTCTAGTGGCTTTTTGTGGTACTCTGAATGGAATCTTAGATAAAAAGGCTGAACTATCAATTTTGTTATTTAACAACTTATATAAAAATATAACAACTATATTAATTCTTCTTTTTTTTAATTCGATAAAGTCATATGCATTAAGTAAATCCGAATAATGTGCTAAATAATCAAATTCAGAAGTCTCTTTGTATTTAAGGTAACGTAAAAATTTCTTCTGGACTCTTTCAATAAGTTCGACTTTATTACTATAAAAAGGTGACCATACTAAAGCACAATATTCAAGTTTAGATAATATAAATGAGTTAAATAACTTTTTAATTGCTGTAAGATCCACAAATTCACGAGTGTTACGAACGATAAAGCCAAGAGTTTTCAGACAAGCGTTAACCATATGGATTATATGTGAATCAAAGGAAAGCTCAGAGTCACATATAACGCCAAGATCTTTAAATTTATCCACCCTTTTTAAATGTATGTTATTAATAGAATAATTAAAGACAATTGGTATCACCTTTTTTGTAATAGTTAGAACATTGCATTTGGAAATATTTAATTTTAATTTATTTAAATCACACCAGTTTAATATTAAATCCAAGTCCCTTTGCAATTTAATGCAATCATGCTCGCAATTAATATAACTGTATATTTTCAAGTCATCAGCATACATAAGATTTTTTGATTTTATTATTAATGGCAAGCTGTTAATATATAAAAGAAAAAGTAATGGGCCCAGATTTGAACCTTGGGGTACACCTGAGGACTGAGAAAAATCACAAGATGTGAAGTTATTGACTTTTACAAAAAACTTTCTATCCATTAAATAAGATTGAATTAAATTAATTAGCGACTTGTCCAAACTTGTATCGTGCAATTTGTCAATTAATAGCTGATGGTCAATTTTATCAAAAGCTTTACTCATATCAGTATATATAATATCTAGTTGACTACTGTTGTGAATGGCTTCCTTTCCGTCTTGCACCAAATTGATTAAATTTGTGGCTGTTGATCGGCCTGACATAAATCCATGCTGATTTGGCGAAATTGTAGACTTTACAGCATTAAAAACATAATTATAAATAATTATTTCGAAAAGTTTTGAGAAAGAATTTAAAATTGAAACTGGCCTATAATTACTGAGAACACTCTTATCACCACTCTTAAATACAGGAAAAACCCTGCTGACTTTCCACAACTTCGGATATGATCCTTGACTCAATGATAAGTTAAAGACATACCTCAATGGTTCAATAAGTAAATCTATGCAACCCTTTACTATATATGACGGAATATCATCAGAACCCACAGACTTACTTGATTTAAGTTTTTTTATGGCATTTTTAATATCGCTATTATTTATAATAATATTACTACCTTTGGTATTGGGATAGTCAATTAAATTTGAAGGTTGAAAAACTGAATAAAAATAAGTTGCAAATCCATGCGATATTGCTTCGCCTCCATTATATGAGTTATTTTCGAAAGACATAACATTTGGTATAATATTTGCCTCTTTTTTTGAGTTAATATATTTCCAAAAGTTATTAGGATCTTCGGTAATGGTCTGTTGTATATTAAGAATGTAGTTATCATATGCATTTTTTATCAGAATTTTAGCTTTAGATCTAAAAAAATTGTATCGTTCTTTATGTAATATATCATTATTTTGCTTATATAATTTAAAATGTTTTTCTTTTAGTTTTATATGTTGCTTGGCTTCCTTCGATATCCATATTGGAAATTTTGAGTTATAAATACGTTTCTTAGGAACACATAAATCCAGAATGTCATATATTTTTTTATAGAATAACTCAACAGCAGTATTTATATCATTTAGAAGGTATAAGAAAATCCAATCCGCATCTCTTAATAAATTATACATGAGAGTAAAATTAGCTTTACTATAATTATATTTAACACCGGGCTGCGTTTGGCACTTTTTAACTTTACCGGATAGGTATATTTCAATTTCCAATGATGGATGGAAAGAATCTTCTTTAGCCAAAGAACTAGAACATTTGTTTACAATTAACTCCGTATTTGACAGTACTAAATCCAAAATGCGATTGTTTATATTTTTTATATTATTTGTTTGTTCTAAGTTAAAGTAGTTTAAATATTGTAATACAATTTGTTTTTCATTGGCTAAAGATGAATTATCATTAAAGGAAGGAATGTTAAAATCACCACATATTATAATTTTTTTGCTCTCATTATATAAGCCTTCTAAAGCAATAAAAAATAATTCATAGAGTTCAGATCCTGTTTTTGGAGGAAAGTATACAACGCAAACATAAACATCAGTTTTACATAAATTTAGTTTAATGCAGATTGCTTCAAGTTTATTATCAAAAATATTGACAACAGAACTCGAGTATTTATTATTAATGGCAATCAGCACACCCCCCCCACGCAAGGTAAAGGAACTGTTATAATCTCTGTCTTTCCTATAAACTATATATTGCAAATTAATAAATTCATTAGGTATGGTTTCATTTAACCATGTTTCGGTTAATATAATTATGTCATAATTGTCAGCTAAAACGTTAATATAGAACTCTTTCATTTTGTTCTTTATACTCCGAATATTTTGATAGTAAGCATAAAGTTTATTACCTGTATTTGAATGTGCCACATTTTTACTTATTGGTTGCTATTGTTTATAATTGAAATTTGTTCTCAATTTAATATTGTTAAGGTACTTAATAAAAATTGGACATGTTTTATCTGAAGCCCCATGGTCTGTCTTTAACTTATCATTGCTGGTTTTGTTATGCCTAATACAGTTTGCACATTGTTTACTACCCGAGTTACAAACTAATGTGTCATGATTACCACAACACTCGGAACATACCTGAATTGTGTGTTTACAATCCTTGGCCAAATGACCAAGAGCAGCACAATGGTAGCATCTTTTAGTATGGTAAGAATCATTAACTGAGCATTTTGACCATCCAATCATTAAATAACCTTTATCAATTAAAACATTTCTAGTATTGATGTCAGTAGAGATAATAATATTTATACCTTGCTTGTAATTAATCTTTCTTACAATTTTAAACATAAAGTCATTAACATTTGTATTAATATTATTTTGTTTGATAATTAACTTTGCGAATTCATCATTATTTTCCATATTATCATCTTTACTGATATTGTAAGCAATTAATTTTGGGTTAACATTACTTGAAGAGGACATTTCAAAATCATCCGGCAACACCTCTCCTAATTTCTTCTGTAGTTCACTCACAGATTCAGCAGATTCACAATTGATTATTACACCAGAACTTTTTTTCACAATACTGTTCACTGGCACAGGAAGATCTGATGGTTTAACTAACGATTTTAAGCTAGTGTAAAGTTCATCAGAGTTTTTTACTTTGGATTTAATAACTAAAGAATTTTTAAACACTTTATTAGATTTCGATATACTGGCATTGTTTACATTTACACTAGAATTTTCGCTGTTTATGTTTTGTTTGACCGCGGTCGCAAACAATGCAGTGGGGTTTTTTGCAGCAATCTGATTTTCAATGACACTTTTTTGTACATTGGTTGTATTTAAAAATATCGATGTTATTTTATCTTCAAATGATTCTAACGCAGATTTTAGTTTGTTATCCAACATCCTGGTTAACTTATCCTCTAGAGAATCAGCTACGGATACCAGTAAAACACAAGATTCACAAAACCACTTAACTGACTTAACTGAATTTAACACATTAAGGACAGATTTTTTTAGTTGCACACAATCACTATGAAAATATGATTTGCATTCACCAGAACACATTACACTATTATCATTATTTACAGCTGAATTGCACTTCTTGCAGGATCGCTCAGACGACTCATCTTCGTCGCCCGCCATTACGCTACAATACTACTATCAGTAACCAATAAGCTTTTTGGTTTATGTGCTTAATTTTCAAAAAAAAAATACGTGCGTGGAATAAACATGGGTTAGATGATTGAAAACACAAAGCAGAAAAATAGGAGAATGGACTTTATGTACAAAAATTAGTAGGTACGTTTTTTGTGCCCTCCCTCTTCCAGAACCTAAGAGCCGCCACTGGTTATTTCCAGTTAAATAACGACTGACTGAATAAGAATGAATCTACTTTAAAGTCAGTACTTAGATGAGCAATGGAATCCTCCTTAAAGCCAGCTACCAAATACCGAAATAAATAAAATAAATTGCAGACAAATCAATTAATCATCGTGAATGTATGAAAGGCAATAGAATCAGTGTGGAAAAGAAAGATTTTTGTGCGGCAAACTTTGCAATGGGAAATTTGATCGAAACTTTCTGAAAGTTAATACGAAAATCGAGACGGCGTTGACGGAGTAGAACAAAAGCGAATCGAGTCGCGGCCGACGCGACGCAATCAGCAAATTAAATTTGTATTTGCCGGACCCCGAACGCGATTGATTAAAAATGATTTTAATGAAGAACTCGAGTTTGTGTGGGGCGGAACTTTTTTCGTCTTTTCTCCGACCCGAGACAATCTCTGCGATTGTTTGGTTTAGCCTTGCGTGAAAATAATGGAAAATGAGTTATCGTGATTTTCGAGAACTTGGACGTTTTTTCCATCATTGTATGTTTTCTTGGGGGGATTAGCAAAGATTAAAATCGCATTGTTTACCCTGTTATAAAAATCAGATTTGTTTGTAATTATTTTAACAAAATGAAATATTTTACCAAAAGTTTTGTCAAGATAATAATATTATATTATGCAATTTTGTAAGCATTTCAAAGGTGACAGATTATTTTGTTAATGTTTAAAAAATTATTTCGTTAAAAAAGTACACGCCAATCAAAAAATTTTCCACTGACAATACGCATTAATAGGTTCAACTGACTTCAGCGTCTGCAACTTATGTTTCTGCTTTCTTTATTCTAATTCGTAAGGTGTTCGTGACAACTGTCCAGAGTGTTTATAATATATTACAAGAAATCTGTTATTATTTTTATTCGGATTCCTTAAACCTACTTTCAAAATGAATTAGTCAAAAATAACTAATTCTAAGTCATATTTGACTAATTTTCATAGCGAAAAAGCAGTCACTAATAACACTATGATACCTATGATTACATAATTTTGAGCTGCTGATTTTAAAAAATGCCACTCGTTTTGCTCCAGGACGTCTAGGATTCGAATTGCGTAATAAAATGCTCTGTCCAATTATTTTAAAATGTAAGTTTTCTCGTTAATATTTTGATTACTTATTAAATTATTTTGCCTTAAATCTATTTTGGATGTAACGAGTCCCTGTATATTTTTGACCTTTTTGTGTCATAAATATATAGGGACTACATACAAAGTCATCGGTAGGTATATGTCAAATAGAAAATATTTATATTAGCAGTAGTAGTATTAAATCCCTCAAAGAAAATATTTAGACGAAAGGAATGGTATTTAAAATATTTAAACTAAAATTCTATGTATTTTTTTGTAAAAAGTATCATTTTTTGAAATTTTTTTGTCGTTTTTTTAATTAATAAATTGAGAAGGCACCAAAGTAAACGGATTTCGGTATAAACAGTACTTTTCGACAATTATTTGAAAATTTTTTATTCACATCACGCCTAAAGTAACCAAAAATTCAATCTCCAATCTTAAATTTATTAAATCATCATATCAGGTCAAAAATTGGCGCCTATTCATTAAATAATTGCTTTCCGCTTTTCAAAGAATTCATGTTAATTTGCCCAAATTTCTTAGAGTCAAATTAACAAACCACCAAGTTTGAGTTAAAAGTCCAATCGAACGGTATTTATTGAGAAAATTCCACAAGTAAATAAATTAAGTTATTTTTGTGCCATTTTTTTATACAATAATACACCCGTTACTATGAAAAAGGTAAATAGCAAAATATTCGCCAATTTTGGAATTTCTGTTCCTTATCCGTAAGCAAACCGTATTTTTGACATTTTATAATAGGTCTAAATTGACAGGATTGGCGAACATAATTTTCATATCGAAACTTAATTAAATTAAAAAGTCAAATACCGATTATTTTTTACATAAAATACATTATAATTTTAATTTTATTATTTAAAATGCCATATCGCTAAGTTAAATATTATCTATTTGACGTAATGTTATGTTTATTACTTAATAAATGTATCTATCTATCTATCTATCTATCTATCTATCTATCTATCTATCTATCTATCTATCTATCTATCTATCTATCTATCTATCTATCTATCTATCTATCTATCTATCAATATCGATTACTCCAGTACTAGATAAATTTAAGGCAAAATTATTTAATAAATAATTAAAATATTAACAACTATTAAAAACTACATTTTGATATGATTGAGCAGAGCATTTTATTACGTAATTATTTTAAATCCTAGACTTCCTAGAGAAAAATGAGTGACATTTTTTAAATCAGCGGCCCACAATTAGTTAAAGTAGGCCGGAGTACTCAATGTTAGAAAAGTTAATAAAACTATCTTAGCCAAAACTTTTTTAAATTTAAATATACTAATTTGACTATTTCATTCAGTAGAATTTGACTAATTATGATTAGTCTAATTTGAATGAAATAGTCAAATTAGTAGATTTAAATTTTAAAAAGTTTTGACCCAGCCCGGGATTGAACTCAGGTCAATACTTGTCAAGCTGTTGTCATAACCAATGTGGCTATCAGTCGCTCTTATAAAAATCAATTTTATTTGTCAATAAATATTGTTCATAATATTTGAAGTTGAATATATTATTTGTGTTGCTGTTTTGAGCTAAACTTCTTGCATCTTTGTTTGTTTTTATGGGGCATTTAACCATGGAGCCTATATGCATTTAATTCAAATAATACTTTGTTGTTGGCCGCAAACGATTACTTTTAACTCTCAGAAATAGTTAAAGATGGTGACTAATCTTAAATTACTCAAACTTTAACTATTTACGTAGTAAAAAATAAGTGAATACGACTATTTTATTAGTAAAAAATGCTGGTACTAATTCATTTAAAGAGGTTGCGAAGTATCCTAAAAAAGATGCCATCACTGGTTTTTAAACTGAAATTAGGGGATACAGTTAGTTGGTTAAGGTTACGAAATACATCATTTTATTTCAGATTTCAGAATGGTGTGTTATTTAATTGTGTGTATGTTATTTTTGTGTTCATTTATGTAGGTATGTTTAATTTTTTTAGTTTAGGAAATTGATTAATAAAGCATTATTTCTTATCAAAATTCTTTTTATTTGAGTTCCCAATTTCCAACAAATACTTCTAACATAAATAAAATAAAACATAAAATCTGGTTAATATTTGGTTAAATTAACAAATATTTTTTTACAGTGTATGTATCAAATGTAAAAATAAAAAGTAGATAAAGGCTAAAAAAATCTAAAAAAATATTTAATATAAAACAATAAAATGTCGGTAGTACCAAAATGACTGAAAACCCCGACACAGTAAATTTGGAGTGAACATTAATTACTTGGAGATGCAATCGAGATATGCATGATTTCGCACACCGTCCAATTTATGTAAATTGATGACATTAATAATTATGGTTTTCCCTGCAATTCCTTCCTGCTTCAACTGACTGCTGCCTGCTGTCTTTCGTCTAACTAACTAACAAGATCCATAGATTTAATCATCATTTTATATTTCAAATTAAATTTAATGAAATAAAGTCATTATTTTAATGAGGATGTACAATTTTCAAATTAAGTTACCAATATTTGTGCAAATCAAAGAATATTATACAGTGTGTCCTGAAAATGATGGATTAAGTATGTAACTAAAAGATGTATAAAACAACATAAAAAATATTATATTTTTTAACAGTTTTTGTATTATAATAAATAAATTTATTGTAGTAATATTGTGTCTTACTCGACAAATTTTGTCCGCAAACTTTCAATTGCACAGCTAAATCGCGCACGTTATTTGTGTTTCAGTCAAAACTGAAAAACTTTAGTTTAGTACTCGATTTCGATTTATTATTCATTATATCATTGATTAAGATACTCAACGATTATATGCTTGTATGCATACATACTACATACGAATTCGTGGCAACATAATATAATACCCGTTTTTGTTTTTTTACCGTTGAGTGAAAACTTTCTTAATCAACGTTTTTAATATGCATTGAATTTAGACGACTTATTTGTGTTATGATTTTTATTAAATTGAAAGGTTTACAATTTTTACGTAAATCATTACTAAAATGTGTTTCTAATAGGTACAATTAATATTTACAGAGACTGTATGCAATTTATTTCTATCAAAATGAGACAAGACTTGGGATTTTTTTTCGTTATAGTTTTTACTGTTTATTATTTATTTAATTTGTTTTTGACAAAAATGAATTAGATTTAGAAATATTTGATTGTTTCAACGTTTAGTTTAATTTATAACTAGATAATAAACAAACACTGTTTTTAAGTTTCCCGAGTTTATTTTAATTTAATTTGACAATTGTTTCGCTAACACAGTAGCTTCCTCAGAAATGGTCATTTCTAAATAAGCTACTAGCTAAAGCTTATTTTCAAATTAAATTAAAATAAATTCGTGAAACTCAAAAAACAGTGTTTGGAAGTAAAAAAACTGATTTTTTACATTACATAGGTGTAGTCATTTATAAAGTTTATTTAATTTTTTGTAAAGGTTTGTAAAAATAAGGGTTTTTTGAAAATTAAAAGAATTATGGTTGAATTATTGACAGGATTTTGTTTTTAAATCTACAAAATTTTTGTTATAATTACAAACTACTTATTCAATTAGTTGCCAGATTACAGTTGGTTGTAAACTGCACATAAAGGACCTGGATTAACATAATATTTGGTTAAAATTAACAAATATTTGTCTACTGTTTACGCTCATGTATCTCATTATTGTACT